TCCAACTTCAGGTAACTCCAGTCGAACTGAAAATGTGAGTAAGCAGTTTGGAAAAGAAAAAGGTTTTTCCCCCTGTCAAACAAAAACTTTGAAAAAACCCATCTGCTATCTATGTGGCCAGGAGGGCCACACAAAGCCTATGTGTCCTCAAAATCCTGCAAACCTCTCTCAGATGTGTTTTGTTCCCAGAGAGAACCACGTTTTGAACAGACAAAACCAGCCACTGATGGAGACTACAGTGGAGATAGAGGGGCAAAAGGTCAAAGCCCTGATTGACACAGGAAGCACCCAGACATTGGTACACCGCAGGTATGTCCCACCGCATATTATTTGCACCTCTGAAACCATACCCATCTGCTGTGTCCATGGGGATGAAAAACAATATCCAACAGCAGATATTTACATGAGAGTGCAAGGACATGTTTACCTGTTAAAGGTGGGTGTTATGGATGCATTACCCTTTCCTGTTGTCTTGGGAAATGATCTTCCAATTCTCCCTGACCTAGTGAATGGTTTTAAAATGTGTAATGTTGTATTGACACGATCCCAAGCAAAGACTTTTGGGGAAGATGAGTCCAGTCTAAGAGCCTTGCCATTTTTTGGGGCTGAGATTGAAGAAGGTCAAACTAAAGAACGCAAGTCTCGTGCACAGCGCAAGCGAGAAAAATTCAAACATACCACAGCCCTTCCTGTGTTACCTGAACCTGAGGTGCAGTTAGACTTTGAAATTCCTGATAATATTAGTGAGCTGCAGCACCAGGATGGAAGTCTGACTGACCTTATTAAGAGGGTTGAAGCAGCAGGTGGAGCTGCAGAGGAATTTCATATGCAAAATGGCATCCTCTATAGGAGACATGGAGATGTACAACAACTGGTGTTGCCCAGAAAGGTCAGAAAAACAGTATTAATTTTGGGCCATGCAATTACCTGGGCTGGCCACCTGGGGAAACATAAAACCATAGCCCGAATCCAACGGTGTTTCTACTGGCCTGGATTACACAAAGATGTTGCCAGCTTTTGCAGGAGTTGTCCTCAATGTCAGAAAACATCCACCAGATTTGCAGCGAGAGCTCCTCTTCAACCCCTTCCTATTATAAATACACCATTTGACCGTTTGGGCATGGATGTTGTGGGTCCAGTGGAGAAGAGCAAATCAGGGACTGAGAACCACCCCATATCACCCGCTGGTACCTGGCAATGCAACCATTCCAGTTTGACGTTCATCACATCCCGGGGAAGCTGAACACGACTGCCGACTACCTGTCACGCTGGCCCATGGAGTTTCCAGAAGAGGGGGAGTGTGTGGAGGTTCCTCCATCTTCTCAGTTTAAGTGTTCTTTTCTTTAGTGTTAGTATTTAGTTAATGTTTTATATTGATAATATTTATATTGGTTATATCACTTTTTCTTTGGTGGGTTTTGGTATTAAGTTGTTTACTAGATTGGGTGCACACATTTTAGTAAACGCTTGGTTTATTTAGAATATTAATTATTTTGTTTTTGGTTGAGTTGAAGGACTGGCTGGGAGGAGTTGATTGTCTCAAACCAGTAATTGGAACCAACCATCAGGCTGCGGGAAGCAGGGAATTTGATGTGGAAGACTCCTCCTCTCGCCCTATTGACATCTTCCTCTCACTCTATTGTTATAATATTTATGGTGTTAGGTTGTTTTGTTTTATAGTTGTGTTAAAGTAAAATGTTGTGATTTGAATTTATTTATGTTTATGTATTGGTTGTTTTTGGTTGTTCCCCCACCCCTCCTTGTGTGTGTGTGTGTGTGTAGGCTAGCCTTTGTATATAAATTCCCCTGTGTGTTCATTGTAAAGAGTCAGTTAGTTTTGTTTGAGTTGGTATGCTTTAGTTGATTATTTTTTGGGCCCATTTTTCTTATATTTCTTTTTGAAATTTGTTGTAAAAAAATCTTTAACTCTTTGAAAAATTAAATAGTTATTTTTTTTATGCCTTTGTCCTTGAGTTTGCTGGTCGGACCATCACACTGATAATCATGGAGGCAACCAGCACTGATTACAGATGAACTATTCAGGTACAGGAAAATATCACAGCAGTTTGTCTTTCAGCTGGTCAGATGATGACTCATGGGGAAAACTAATTTACTGTACATGTGAACTCTATCTGAACTTGAATTGTTTTGGTAGCAGTTTCCAAAAACATAATATTAGTTTTGTCCCATATAGTGATAATTTGTTATTGTCAAACCTTTTCTTTAATTTACTGATTTCTATGGAAAGAAGTTGTAAGTTTTCACCAGACTAGAATATTTGTGTCGTCAGCAAATAACACAAATTTAACACATTAGACACTTTGCTTCTGTTGTTTATATACGAATTAAATAAAACTGGTCTCAGTACTGACCCTTGAGGTTCTCCACACAACAAAGTAGTTCTGGACTGGACTTCAATTGTTGGTTACTCTTACCAGACCTGGTCCAATAGAAACGGGTCCAAACCCCCATAATGCTTCAGTTTTAGCACAAACCATAGATTTAGATGTTAGCATTTGTTTGGGAATATTAAAATTTGATTGTTTGGGAGTTTGAATAGCAACACTATTAAATTTGATTGAAATATTTCACAATGGAAAAAAAAATAAAAATTTACATTGTTTAACATTTCAATTTACTTTGTAAAAATGCATAAATACTCTTTATTTTATTGCGGCTAAATCTGGTTCTATGGGTTTTATGCTACAATCTTTGTGTGTCTCACAAAATAGTCAGAAATTATCACTGATTTATTTTAAGTCTGGCCAACTAACCTCTTCCTCCTCTCCCAGGAAAAAACCCACATTAACTTTCTTTGCTGTGAGTAAAAGAACTCAGCGACTCGGACCGTGGTGATCATGGCCCTGAGAAGCTCTGGTCGTCGTCCTTTATTTACATTTCTAACATTTATGCTCTCAAAGCTCAATCACAGCAGTTTTACTGTGGAGGAGGAGCTGAAGCCAAGAGCAAGGAAAAGGTATGAGCAGCACGTACAAGATGGTGATTGTCAGCACTAAGAGCCTTCTCCTGACTCTGGTTGGTTGAGTTTTATTTGCTTACAGATGAACATAGAAGTGCTGCATGTTTTGCTCTCAGCAGAAAATCCACTGAACCCTTTACTTTCATCAGCCTGTGGAAATGTGTTGTTACATCAGTCCAGTCCTTTACATGGCCGTACTCAGGATGAATCTAAAGGGGCCAGTGGCCCCATAGACTGGAACTGGCCCAAGTATTGAAGACACTAAATATGTTTCTACTGATGATATAAGCTGGCACAGAAACTGTAGATAATTTATCCCTTGTACCAATTTAAGTTTTACCTTCACAGTTTCACTTTAATAATGAAATAAAATTAAGATGTTGCACTTTTGACTTCAGCAGAATTATAATAGAATTTTATTGCAGCTAAATCTGATTCTATGGGTTTTATGCTACAATCAGTTTTCATCTATTAGATCAGGTGGATTTGGTCTAGAATCATCACTCTATGCTGAGGTCGACCTTCTGACCTCTGGTGCTTTGAGATGTTGTTGAATGCTGGAGTTGTAGGGAGCCGTTTTGTCCACCAGAGGGAGCCATGAGGAGTCTTCTGGAGGAGGGTCCCTGTGCATTATTGGCCTCATCAACGCCTGCATAAGAGGAGCGGGTGGCCGGTTCTCCAGTGCCTGAGTGTTTACCGATTTTCATACTCTGAGCCCTCTGAGTCTATTTATCTGAGAATTGGTTCATGTTCCCAGCTGATTCAAGTTTTTGTTATCTTCTCTGACCTCTTGCAGGTTTTCTCTCATCGAGTTGCCTGCTGACCTCAGATCCAAACCTAGGATCCTCTGTTGTTGATTTTCCAGCACAGAATCTGGAAAAGATCCGCTCTGGGCCCCACTGACTGCCAGCCCGCTCTCCAACGTGAGATCAGTCACCCCTGATCCCTTCGGCCCTCAAAACCCGGACTGCATCCTCCTCGAGCGCAAAGACCCAGGGTCCAGCATCCCAACCTTTCCCTCCCTGGCGGATTCTCTCCAGCCCGTTCCAGTTCTCATTTCACCTGTTCCCACTATCCACTGACTTCTTTTTCATTCATTCAATCATTTATTTTATTTTGGTAAACTGTCCACATCACCAGAAACAACAAAGAAATAACAATAAACAGTAAATAACCCACAATTTACCAAAAAAGGAAGAGGCTGAAGCAAAGCTTATTCTTGCCTATTTTTTTTACCCTATAACCTACCAGGATATTTTCACAATACATATATAAATCTAAATAATACATACATAAATCTAAATAAATGATAAGATTTTATCATTTTACATCTTAAAGCTCTTTTAAAGTTTACTAAAAAAGAATATAACTTAAATTCATCATTCATTTCATTCCACAATTTCACACCAATAACTGAAATACATCTAGACTTTATCTGGCTCTTCTCTTTTGCACATTCAAATATAAACAAACCTCGCAAATTATATTTATTCTCTCTTAACTTAAATAATTTCTGAATACCTGAAGGAAGACTTTTGTTCAATGCTTTAAACATTACTTCCAGTATTTTTATATAGACAATATCTTTAAATTTTAAAATATTACTTTGACTAAAAAGAATATCCATTGGTTCCCGGTATCCCACTTTATTAATAAGCCTTACAGCTTTTTTTGCAGCTTAACTAATATTTCAATAATTGTTTTACTTGCATTTCCCCAGATTTGTGAGCAATAAGACAAAAAGACACTTCTCATCTCCCCAGCCCTCAGATCACAGAAGATCCAGATCCAGTGGTCCCAGAGAGACATCCTCAAACCCCATCAACTATCCTGTCATAAAATAAATGTTTATTTATCTGATTCCTCCCTCTCTAATCTGTGTTCTGCATGTGGGCTAAGCGAGTTGCATCCAACACGACAGATGTGATCAAACATGAGCTTTAATAAAGAAAAGTCAAAGCATTTCACTAATAAATAGTTTCCACTTATAAGAAAGTAAAATAAACCCCAAATAACTCACCAGAAACGCTGAGTCGACATCTTCCAGAGTTGACTCCATCTTCAGTTTTCACGTCACACTGATACAGACCAGAGTCTTCAGTCCTCAGTCTGGACACATGGAGTCTGATTCGTCCTTCTCTGAGGACGTCTTTGTCGCTCTGGACTCGTCCTGAAAACTGATCATCCTGAGACTCTGGAATCTCAACACCTTCATGAACCTGATAGAGAACTCGCGGTTTATCAGGAGCCAACAAGCTGCAGACGATGAACAGTTGCTTCCATGTTCCCTGAGTCTTGGTGGTGAAGGTCCACTCCAGAGTGATGCTCTGCTTCTCCTCTGCCTGATAGCTGCTCTGTGTCACATTCACTACAAATGTTGCTGCTGAGGAGACAGAGAGGGAAAGAGAGGAGCAGACACACTGAGAACTGGAACATGGGAGTCTTTCAGCTCCATCTAGAGAGCTTTCTGTCACAAAGACAAGATGGAGACTGACCACAGAGACATGAGCTGAGGATGAGGAGCAGCAGGATGCTGGACATCATCTTCATCCTGAGAGAGGAAGAGGAGGAGAGACAGCTGAACATCAGGAACATCATCACTAACAATATGAGGAACAACTGGGTCTATGGTGAAGGTTGAATAAAAGCTGTTTAGAAAGAGATCATTACTTCCACCTTGTGGTTATAAACTCATACAGCAACTCTCAGTCAACAGGATTGTTTTCATTCTCTGCAGCTGCTGAATCTTTAATTATAAAACTTTTGGAGTTAAATCCTTTTCTTATAATCATGAAACATCAGTGAGTAAGTTTTACTTTTTTTACTGCTAAATAATGAAAAGCATATTTAATCAATGACAATGTACAAGTATTGCATCACTTGTCAATTTTATTGTTAGATACATTTTATATAGATTCATCACAGAGTTTTATTCTGTAATTCTTCTTGCAACATTAATTATAATTTACAGTCAATTAGAAAATTGCATCAGATCAATTTATGCTAAACAGAGATTTCAGATTTCTGAGAAATCTGTTAATTTCTAAATAGTTTCACTCTGGAGACTTAAGGACTTGATACATGAATTAAATATAAACTTTACTTTAATCTGAAAAAAGGACTTCTCCAACTCTTATGAAGGAGTGAACTGAGTTGCTCTGAATCCAGACTCAGGTTTCTCCTTCTGAGTGGCTTTTTAACAAGGCTGCAGTTATCCCTGCTGCAATGTGATTTAGCACAGCTTTTCCTTCCACTAAACTTTTTGTTGTGGACAGGTGTAGTGAGGATCACGTGATGTTGTTGGTGATTATAGATCAGCTGTTGCTCACCTGGGTGATTTTAGTGAGTGGGTGATGGGGGAAGGTTTACTTTTTGCTGACCGCATCCATTTAGCACATTTTGTCTTTATTCACTGTTTTTTCTACGGATCCGTTTTTATGCTGTGTGGACACTGTGAAGTTTTGGATATTGACAAAATAAATAACTTAAATGCAACTTGGATGCTCTTTTGATCAGCTGGCGCGTCAACAAAGATTCCCCTATTCAGCCGCTCGGCGACCTGGTTTGGCAGTCGCTAATATTTGTCAGCAAAAACGTAAAAAAAACAGCGATAGAAACAACAACGGAGTTTGTCTCACAGCTGGACGCCAACGCGAGCCCACGCCACCTCCACGGCGCCCGCGAAAGAGAATCGTTTGACAGGGAAGTAGAAGACAACAGTGGTATGTAACCCAAATGTTTGGTGCTGCGTAAAGCTTTTAATCGCAGTTTGGTTCTGCCACATGAAGCTGTTGTGGTGACACGCCCCCCCGCTACGTTTTGCTGTGGGAATGCCGAACCTTGGTGTGCGAGTGTGTGCTGTGGCTCTGCGTGCGTTCAATAAAGTTTAAGGACGTTTCTGAAAGTTTCCTTTATTTGGATAAAAATGAGTGGATTATCTGTTGTCGAGAAACCTGATAAGGATAAAAGAACGATCGTTCTCACTGAGAAAGCTCTCGCAAATAAAATTGAAACTCTCCAAACAGAGCGGAAAAAGCATGTGAAGAAATGAAAAGTGTAACTTCATCTCTGAAAGAGCTAATGCAAGATGATAAGAATTATTCACAAGTAAAATTACTGCTGGATGAGTTGACCCACTTGTTTAAAGATGTCATTGTATTGCATGAATCCTTGATGCCTTTAATTCCTCCTGATGAGAAAGATAAACAGAATGCATGGTTTTCAAGTATCACTGAATACAACCAAGGATTTATTGAGGATGTTGAATTATGGCTTTCTGAAATAAAGAAATGTTCAAGCAGACCATCCTCTGACATTAAACTGTCACAGGAAACTCCATCAGGAGAAGTGGAGGTTCAAGAACAAATGGAGCCTCAGTTGTCTGCCAATCTCCAGCATGACATTCAAGATGATGTGTTGCCATCTGACAGTGTTTCAAATCAAGGAAGCAGGTCTAGCTCCAAAGTATCTTCAACTTCATCTGCACGTCTCAGAGCAGAAGCTGAAATGGCAGCTTTGCTCGCGCGTCAAAATATGCTCAAAGTAAAACATGCTCTTGAAGAACAAGAGGAGCAACTTAGGAAAAGGAAAGAACAGCTTCAACTTGAAGCAGAAATAGCTGCAACTGCTGCAAAAGTAAATGTGTTGAAAACTGGATCTGCAGTGCAAAGCTCAGCTTCACAGAAATCTAATGGTATGGAATCCTATTTTAAAACAAAGAAAATGCTGTTGAAACTCTTAATGCTAAAATGTTTGTTCCACAGACAAAGAGAAATGCAGTTAATGAAAATGCAGAGCTTCAAATAAAAACAGTGCAACAAAATGTGACAAAGAAAAGGTTTGCACCTTCTTGTTTTGGACCTACTCGTCCTTTAAGCGGAACATTATCAAATATGCCGCTGCAGCAAGTTGCCCAATCAGCAACCAATGAAAATCTGTTATCCATTATGGAGAAACAAAATGAATTAACTTGCATGTTGGTTCGTCAACAAAGTCTGTCTTCGCTACCCAAAAGAGAAATTCAACCCTTTGATGGCGATCCACTTCATTTTCAGGCCTTTATGCGCTCATTTGAACAGGTCATTGAATCAAAGACTGATGATCCTGACGATTGCCTGCATTACCTCGCACAGTACACCAGGGGGCAGCCCAATGAACTTGTCAAAAGCTGTCAACATATGTCTGATGGTGGTGGATATGTAAAGGCAAAGACTATGCTATATGAGCATTTTGGAGATGGATATGTTATTGCATCTGCTTACCTGAATAAAGTTCATTCGTGGCCATTGATTAAATCAGAAGATGGAAAATCTCTTCAGGCATACTGTTTGTTCTTACGTGAGTGTTGTAATGCAATGGAGGATCTTCATTATCTTTCTGAATTAAATACCCTGCTAATATGCTTGCTGTGATTAAAAGATTGCCATATAAATTGAAAGATAAATGGCGAACAGTAGCATGTGACATTCAGGAGAAGCAGCATCAAAGAGCAACATTTTTTGACATTGTTTGCTTTATTGAGCGTCAAGTCAAAATTACTACAGATCCTGTCTTTGGAAAGTTAAGTGATGCTCCATTAATAAATTCATCAGCTAAGAGCACAGATGGAGGGAAACGTTTTTCTCGTCCAAGAACTTCAGGAAGTAGTTTTGGCATCACTACCTCTGCTGTTGAGAGAAATAATCCATCAGAGGCTCAAGACCATCACACTGATGTGAAGATTTGTTTGTTTTGCAAAGGTGGACACAAACTGGAGTTATGCTCTCTTTTTGAAAGGAAACCTCATAATGAGAAGATTTTATTTCTTAAGAGAAATGGCGTTTGTTTTGGTTGCCTGTGTACAGGGCACATCAGTAAAGAATGTAGAAAACGCCTTTCATGTAAAATCTGTGGTTTCAGACATGCAAGCATACTCCATATTCACAATAACAATAAGAATGAAGTTCAACTCGTTGCTGAAGGAGCGAAATCTCCTGACACAGTTCAGACGAGTGGTCTTACTGGGGCTGGTGGACAGGACTGCAAGCTTGCTATTGTACCAGTCAAGGTGAAATCAAAGAAAGGTCAACGGATACTGGAAACGTATGCCTTTTTGGACCAAGGGAGTTCAGCATCCTTTTGTACAGTGGGTCTTTTGAATAAGCTGAATCTCATTGGGAGAAAAACAAAGATTCTCTTGCGCACCATGGGACAAGAGAAAGTTGTGGACAGTTTCATTGTACCTGAACTTGAAATTGCTGGATTGGACAGTGACATGTATTATGACATGCCTGACCTCTTTACTCAGCACAAAATGCCTGTAGATTTGAGTAATATTCCGAAGCAACAAGATCTGGCTAATTGGCCACATCTGAAGTGTGTTCATTTGCCCGAAATCAAAGCACAGGTGGAGCTTTTGATTGGCATGAACATGCCCAGAGCTCTAGAACCATTGGAGGTCATCGGGAGCAAAGGTAATGGACCTTTTGCCATTAAAACTGTGCTCGGCTGGACAGTGAATAGTCCAATTGAACGAGAATGTTGGGAAAGAACAAGTTGTATGTCAACTGTCACCATGAATAGAATTTCTGCTGTTACATTGGATAACCTATGGAAGCAACAATTCAAGATAGATTTTCCTGAGAACAACCATGATGAGCAGATGGGGCTGTCAAAGGAAGATTCTAAGTTTCTAGAGTTGGCCAGCAAAACAGTAACCTTGTGTGATGGACACTACAATATTGCCTTGCCTTTGAGAGATCAAGACATAAGAATGCCTGATAACCGTGCAATTGCTGAACAACGTGCCTTAAGTTTAAAGAAAAGGTTAATCAGAGATAAAGACTTCCACAAGGACTATATTGTCTTTATGAAAGACCTTTTATCTAAAGGTTATGCCAAAAAAGTGCCAACCACAGACTTGGGGCGCAATGATGGAAAGGTTTGGTATATCCCTCACCATGGGGTGTACCATCCTACCAAAGGAAAGTTTTCGGGTCGTCTTTGACTGTGCTGCATCATTCCAGGGCTTTTCTCTCAATGCACAGCTCCTGAGTGGTCCCGATTAACAAATAGCCTGGTTGGAGTGCTGACGAGGTTCAGAAAAGAGCCTGTCGTTTTGACGTCTGATATTGAAGCCATGTTCCATCAAGTGCGTGTGCCAGAGAAAGATGCTGACCTGTTGAGGTTTCTCTGGTGGCCTGATGGTGATCTCAATCAGAGCATGCAGGAGTACCGCATGAGCGTTCACTTATTTGGAGCAACATCATCTCCGAGTTGTGCTAACTATGCCTTGCGGAAATGTGCAGAAGACAACAATGCAGATTTCAGCCAGCAGGTGATTGATACCATTCTGTATAATTTCTATGTGGATGACTGCCTTGTTTCAATAGGCACTGAAGAGGAAGCCATATCTCTTTACTCAGACCTCAAACTCATCTGCGCCAAAGGCGGTTTCCACTTAACAAAGTGGATAAGTAATAGCCGTAGCGTCTTGGCAGTAATACCTGAGGAGGAAAGAGCCAATGAGGTTAAAAACTTAGATCTGGATTGTGACATCTTGCCTGTTGAACG